GAGAATCAAATTGTGTCACCTTGACCATGTAAGAATCACAAATGTTAAGCCATGAACAAAAATAGTCTCAGAAGACATAAAAGTGTGGGTTGTAATTTTTCTATAGAGGGAGTATATTGCTTTTTACTTGTAATAAGTACAAAGGGAAATAAAAAACTTTGTTTTTTCAAAAAGGAACAAGTTTGGGGGAAAATAACATAGCAAAGACCAGCTAGCTGTTCACCAAACCTGCTTTCTCCTCTCCCAGGGCATTCATGTCCCAGCTGCCCATGCAGTTAGTTGTCATGTGGCTGAGCCCTGGCCAATGGAGTAGAGCAGGAGTGGGGGTCCAGTCCATAAGACCCGGCAGCTCAAAATCCTCCATGCTTTTCTCTCTTAAAGCAGAGAAGCAGAGCAACCTTGAAAACCAGGTGTGAGGTTGGGAAAGCCTCAAAATGGAAGGCTCCAGAGTCCATGGCCCACTTCTTGCAACACAGCTACCCAAAGACCAGAACTTTACATAGAAAGAAAGAAACTTCTTTTGTGTTAAACTCCTAAATCTGAAGGACTTACTTGTTACAGCAGCTACTATTACCCTAATTCAGTAAAGAATTTGATACAAATTAAATAGCAGATCACAATGCGTTTCTAATTTTTTCCACTTAAGAATGTCAACAGCTACTATTTGAATCTTTATGAAAATTACAGCTGCAGAGAGAAGTTAGTGAATAGTACAATAAATCATAGGTTTTATGACTTTTTTAAAAAAGCTTACTTCTTTCTGGGTTCAAGCCCAGGGATAAAACACTGAGGTGACTGAAATTTGTCATTCCTAATATTGTGGCTATATTTGGTTAAATAAAATATATTATTAAATTAATTTCACCTGTTTCTGTTTACTTTTTTAATGAAGCTACTAGAAAATTTAAAATTACATTTACAGCTTGTGTTTTATCTCTATAGGACAGCGCTACTCTAGATCATGCAGATGTCCAATTTTCTATTTAGCTACCAATATTCATGAAGTGTCTATGTGTGGTAGTTGGGGGGGCTGCTCTGCTTCTGACAAGCCCTGTGAGTTTGAGCAGGTCTTTTATCCCCTCTGGATCTCCTTCTTTTCTTCACGTAAAAGATGAGAGAGTTGGCCCTGTCATGCCCAGCAGTGTAATTTTGAACCACTGGACCCTGATGTTATGACTTAAATTCAAAAACAGGAGGATCCCAGCATTTATTTTGCTCACGACTTGCACCCTGACAGTCCTCCCTGCTTGCCACTATGCGCCTGGCCTCCCGTTCTCGTTCAAGGGCTCTATTCATCTTTTGGATCGCACCACATGACTGCTCTTGTAGGGACCTTTGGCTTCCCTACTCTATTCACATTCAACAAATGATGTGGTTTCTGGCAATTCCAGTTAATACCTGATCCAGGGAACACTCCTGGCACACCCCCTTAGGGTCAGTCCCCTGCTAGGGTCTCCATGGTCTTGTTGTACAGACCCTGCTTGTCTTTCCATCTTCAGAGACCTTAGACCCAACTAAACCAGGCAGAGAGAGGGAGCGGAGCCCTTTATCGAAAGAAACTCCAGTAATCTCAGAATGAAGCTCATGCCAAAGGCTATCATTTTAAATAGCTTCCTTCTTCCAAAGTTTATTTGAAAGAGGCACTAGGAGGAAAGACTCGTTTCCTTAAAATATCAAAGAACTAAACACCAAAAGATGATAGATACTTCTGGAGACAGACTGCAAAGTGTATAAATAAAATTCTGCAAAGTGTACAAATAAATATTACAAAGTATTCATTTCTGCAACAGTTGTCCACCACACTCAATATTACATTACCTAACTAAATTTTCCATGAATCAAATTTATTCAGTCAAATTTCTCTTAATAGGTCATCTGAGTAAACAGTTTCAAGTGTTATTTACCAAAAAACAATGTTTCCAGGCTTTAGATGAAATTGGCAGTGTCAGGCTAAGAAAACAACCTTAAAAAATTCACAGAGGGCTGGAAAAAATGCAGAAAAATTTGAGCCCTGAGGTCAGCCTTTTTCATACAGTTCTAGAGGTAAAAATTGCAAATTTCCACCAAAACCACGTCTTTAGTGGCAGGAGAAGAATTCCATTTTAAAAAAATCTAAAATGTACAAAGCAACATGTCTTTAAAGTGGCAGTTGTCATATGAAGAATGTGCCATCTCAGTGTTGTCACACCAAGCACTGCCACTTTATGGAGGGCATCCTGCATCCTGGTCATCCCCTGGTCGGCTGCTCTGAGAAGCAGACAGAGGCTCCTAGTTTTTAGAGAGAAGAGGGAGCGGGAAGGAGAAAGGAAGATGGAGGTGAGAAGGGAAAGGTGGAGGAGATGAAGACGGGGGGCGTGGGTGAGGAGCACAGGGAATAAAAGGAAGATTGAGGTATGACATGGAATTTTGCAAATGCAAAGAAGTTATTAAGGAAAGTGGAGCAGGCACATTTTGGGGTGGAACTTTCTATGAATTACTATTCTGGAAGTTTTTTGGAATTACCTGATTGGTGCAATGAAAGGAATGGAAAAGATAAACTAGAAGCAGGTCTATTTCATAGGTGAGGAAATGGACATCTGAGGAGCAAACCAGCCCCATACCTCAAACGGACAGTACAACCAGAATAGCACTCATCCACCTCCAATCTCTGAATCTACTTACTGGAATGACATCTAAAGCCAGGGGTTCTGAGAACACAGTCTGAGAAGCCCTGTGACATCACAAGTAGCACTAGGTGTACTTTATGACAAGAGCCAAATTAACCCCTGCCTGCAACTGGCACCATTACTCACATGGCCACAGCATACACTAGCACCCAAAGTGCTCAGGTTTTATGTAATCACCCCTCCAAACAGAGGGAACCCTGATGCGTCATCTTTGTAAGCATACAACTGCTCAGCTGACATCATCACAAATAAGAAGGAGGCTCGTCTGGAAACCATATGGCTCACTTCCTAGCCCCTACAATTTAAGATGTTTGAGAGCAATCACCACTACATTCAACCATACAAGTAATATTCATTGTGTAGAGGGCCACTTTGACCTCTTAGGTGAAACTGGGCAACATGTTGTGAATGGACCTCCCCTTGGTTCATTCCAGCTCTTCCCACCCTACGGTCAGAGAGAAGATGAATACTATTAAATTTTAATTCTAAGTCAGGAGCTCATGAGCACTCTGGTTCTCAACTTTTCTCATAAAATATTTATTCAGTCAAACCGAGATATAGACTTCCAACAGCATTCTGGAAAGAGCACCAACACAACTGGCAGCCATGTGAGTCTGTGGCAATGTTTTGATCACGTTCTTATACAAAGAGAAAATTCCTCAGAGGAGCTATGCTCATTACCATTGCAAGGGTTTCCAAGCCTGTCAGTGTTAGAAGATGGTGCTTGAACCTCTCTGGCCACTTAGCTGACTGTCTAGACCTGGGGCACCTGAGGAAGTGACCTATTGACTGAACCTGATGAGTTATATCTGCCTATTCCCATAAGGAAGGGCTGAAAAATGTAGCTCCATGACCTATTTGTAATGGAGGGATGGGTGCCCTGGCAGACAGTGGGAGATTCATGGGTGAGCTCCCACTATAAAGCTACCATACACAGAACACTAAGCTGTTCACACTTTATTACTTCATTGCCAATTCTCACAGCAGTCGTGAAAGATCAGAATGATTACTCAGTTATACAGACAAGCAGACAGAAGCTTAGAGAACCTGAATATTTTGTCCAAAGCCCATAGCTTCTGGGCTGGGATTCAAACCCAGGTGAGTGTGATCCCAAGACCCAGATTACAGATGTGGCTCTCAGATTTACACATCTACTGTATATCCTTGAGATGCATCTGAACTGGAAATACAGGAGCTATTTCCACAGACAAATGCAACTTCTAGACCAACCCATCCAACAGACCTTCCTGAGATGATGGAAATGTCCTATGATCTGTGCTGTCCAATATGGTAGCCACAAGCCATATGCAATTAGTGGATATTTGATGTGTGGCTACTGAAATTGAGAATCTAAATTTTTAATGGTATTTCATTTGAATTAATTTGAATTAAGTCACCAATGAATGTCCACATTAGACAGCGCAGTTAGGGACATTTTATATCAAAAACATTCAGAAAACAGAATTGTCAAAGCCACCTGGGGTGGGCAAAGCAGCTTCATGAAGGAAAGAGGCTCCGGGCAGGCGCTGATGTGTTAGGATTTGAACAGGGCCCTTCCTGGTTCAGGCACGATCATTTTCCCTATAGAATCTGGTTGGTGATGGGCCTCAGAAATCGAGTCCAGTCCCCATAGTCCACAGATGAGGAAATCAAGAACATGGCTCCTTTTTGTATAATACCAGCTCTACACAGCATGAGGAGCTCTCCTTTACTCCTCCCACTGCCCCCCTGTAGCCTCTCTTCTCCTCCATTTCCCTGTCCCCTACCTCACCCCTGCCAACACCAGCAGGTACTGGGCTTGTGCTCTTTTGAAAAACCTGGACATCATCTTTTCAACACATGAGGTGAGTCATTTCCTCTTTTGCAAAGGCTTTTAATGTGCTTTATTCTTCTAGACCTGTCACTCTGAGAAAGGCATCTCTTGATACATAAGCAATGCCACAGAGAGATGACATCACCTTCCCCAAACACAACTCCAACAACACAGAACAGAAGCCCTCCATCACTGCTGACCCAACATCCTGGAGCCAGTCATTGTATCACGTTTGACTCCATTCTTTCCCATACCAAAGATGATGACTGTGCTCCTTAACACCGTATTTCCCATGACTTTGACTTACCTTTTTCACAGCTCTCCTAGGGAAACAAAATAGAGGCAGAAACACACCTGAAAAGTCCCCTGGTATTTCACCTTTGAGTTTCTTAGACACCTGCCCCAAACATCTTTAAAGTCTCCTTGGTTTGAAACTCAAAGAAAAAACATGGCATCCAGCTCTTCCTCAGCCATAACCTGATAAAGCAGCAGTCACTGCCCAGAACGCAGCCATCAGTTACCTGGCTCAGTGCAGTTCTTGCTGCTCTGGAGTCCTGCGTCTTCTGAAGTCAGAGTGTCATTCACCTGCATTAACTTCCTCCCCACTCTCCACTGTCTGTCTTCCCCCATGAGGTCCACGAAGTCAAGGTCTGCAGAGAAAAAATAATAACCACACATCACTAACAGCTGAGGTTTAGCCTTTACCAATCTGCGTGCCCAGTGTCTTAATCAGCCATCAAGCGCTCAGCCTTAGACCTTACCATGTTCTTCACCCATCCTGCTTCTAATTGCCGGAGGGCTTCCTCTGGCTACTGGATCGTACAGAGCCCTACCAGCCCTCAGCCAATGACTGGTAGGAAGTGGTATATAAACACCTCACTGCTCCAAAGGGATGACTTTGAGGTGTTTATTTTAAACTGGATTCCAGAGTTTTCTTGACTGGGATTACGCTCTCTAGTTGTCTACAGTGTAACTTTCCTCATAAAGCACACTTTTTTGGCTGCTATTCCCTGTCTTAATTCCCCGCTCCCAATAACATGCTGAAAAATGTTTAACAACCAACTTTCCAGGAGAAAAAGTCCTGATTTGTAGCCATAAGCCAATTTCCATGGTGTAAAAAGTCCCATCATGACCTATTTCTAGCTACCAACATGGCCTCGCTCAACATGAATTTGGGAAGAGATGGGCACAATTAGGTCCACTATGTCAGTATGACTGGCTCCAGCCCACCAGCATCTATTCCCAGACCAGTATTTCCTTGAACCAACTCCCAAAAAAACTACCTGCAATTGAACACTTACTCAGGATCTGCTTCCGGTGGGTTACCCAATCTAAGACACCATTTTGACATCCAAGAGCCTAGGCTAGCGAATGCCACATAGAAAGATTTCCATAAACAAGAGATGAAGGCACCAACAAGGGAAAGTAGACCACTGAATGTGTGAAAGCTGTCTCTAGCTAAGATGCCTGTGGGGGTGGAAATGCCAGGAGAAACAACAGAGACTGAAAGGTACAGGGGAGGGGTGAATGCAGTACATTCTCTGTTAAGGACATTTTGAGTTGAAAGTGTCTGTGGAGCATAGAAAGGGAGGTAAGCTGCCTGTGTAAATGAGGGTGGAAACACCTCAGGGGACAAAGCTAAACTACAGAGAGCACCAGGAGAGTCATATGCACACAGGGAAGAGTATGAGACATGAATGGATGAGGTCTCCCAGAGAAGGAGGGGAGGGGACTAAAGAGAAGGGAAAGGAACAAGAAATTGTGGGGAACTCAACATTCCTACAAACAGCAAGTAGAGTGAAAACTCAGCAAAGGATCATGAAAGGAAGGAAAAGAGCAAGGAAAATTGTGTCACAGAAGGTGAGCAGACAGAGAATTCAAAAAAAAAAAAAAAGAGTGGCCAATGGCCTTGACCACTATGGACAAATCAAGTAGGATAAATGCAAAGAAATGACAGAGCTGGACATCAGGGTGTTACTGGGAGGTGGAAACAGCAGGCAATGGTGGCTCTTTCTGGTGGCTTGGCACTAAACAAAGATACGACATGAGGCAGTGGCTCCCTTTTAAGTGTCCAGAGCTGCTGTGATCAGAAAATGGATCTAAGTATAAGACAAGAGTCTAATTCATGGGCCCAGTGGCCTTCAGAAAAGGCTGGAGGATGCACCCTATTCAGCCACATCAATGTGATGTTCTGAAATGGTCAATGAAATGCTGAAGATCATCATATCCATTCCTCTATTTCCATGGTGATTCGGTTTCCCAAATGTTTTCACCTTTGTTATTGGATCTGGACTTCATGACACCACTTAGGAGAAAGAAAGGGGGGGACACAAACATTATCTTCTTTGTCCACTCTTATTCCTCCAACACCTAATGACTGTTGGCACAGAGTAGGTGCTCAGTTAAGTACATGTCAAAATAATTATTCCCACTTTGTGGATGAATAGAGAGACTCATGGAAGTTTCTGAAAATCACAATGTTTATGAACATCTCACCTAAGCCAACAGGCCACAAATAATATCAGCCACTCATGCATTGAGGTCTTCCTCCCTCCGTCAAACAACATTGCTTCCAGATGTAAAATTATCGATATATTTAATTAAAACTTAAACATACTGGCCAGGACAACTCCCAGATATTTTCTTAAAAAAAATAAAATAAAATAAAGTGCATTGCAGAGCCTAACTAGAATAAATGATAACTTTAGACTCTGAAATAGAAAACCTACATGATAGCCACATATATCAGTTTAGGCAAAATTGTGAGGCTAACACTAAAGATAATTCAAGGGTAAAGCAGACATTAAGACATTTGTGTAGTATGGTTAACCTGAATGGTTAATTCTTATGATTAAGACTGGTGACAAGCAAAGAAAAAAACTTCAAAAACTCACGAAGAAACAACAAGGTCAGTGGCCTTACAATCCTACAAGCAGCCCTAAAATGTGAATATAATACCATATTATCATAAATGATCTGGAAGTGTGGAGAAAGACATCCCATTTGTCTCAGGCTGGGTTTCCGCAGAAGCAGCCCAAGACAAAGATTCAAATACAGGTGGTTTATATGGGGTGGGGGGAGGTGATCCCAGGAATAAGGCAATGGGACAGGGAAAGGGAGACAGTCAATAGATGGTACATCTCAAGTGAGCTTCCAAAATGAATAAACTAGAGCTTGACCCCTCTGGAGAGCTCTGGGGGCCACTGCAGACGTGTATCTCAGACACACAAGGGGTGAAAGAACTCGGGTATTTATCCACCTACTTTTGTTCTGCCATTGGTTGAAGTTTGTTCTCAGGGGATATTAATTCCCTGGCACTTCCAATCTGCCACATGGGTGTCCAAGGGGGGATCTGGTGCCAGGAAAAAGGCCTTGGACAATGAGATACAGGTGCTAAGAGTTGAACAATGCCAATGTGCACTAAAGAGGAAAGAACAAAGTGATGTGGGCCGGGCACCAATGATATCTGCCAGCCTGCATGAGATTCAAAGATGGAGTCATGCTACGGACCAACAGACTGGCCATTCTGCTGTTCTCATAATCTGGGTCAAAGCAAAGTGCTTTGCAGCACTGCAATTCAAAGAAGTGCAAACTTCCAATGACTTCCAAAGTTCTTTCCTAGGCCAAGTTTCCATGGTTCTGTAATTGTGAGAGAAAAGCTGATACCAATTAAGAGATGTAAAAATAAAGCCAGCTATTATAGCAGAAAATCAGAGGATCTTTTTTACAATGATTCAATATTTTCAGGAATTAGAGACTATTAAAGCAGCACCTCTGGATTCCAAAACCTACAAACTTTTATCTCAACAAAAATGTATTTGACCACTGACCACTAATGCAGACATCAGAGTCTGAGAAAATGAGAATAATGAAAGCAAAGCATTGCATTCACTTATTTCCCACTGAGAACCAAGTGTGACATTATAATCCATTTCATTTGTCCTCACAAAATCCCTTGTGAGGTAGGAAGAAACAGTTGGTTCTGGGGTCAACTTGCCTTTAGAGTAAATAAGTCCGAGTAGAAGTCATTTGTCTAAAATCAGAGCCAATCCATGGTTACATCAACTATCACTTACTGGTTATCATGGTTTGCATTTATTGTCTATTTATGTGCAAAGAATTTTCCATTTGTCACCAAGTTTCATCTTAACAACAGTATTATTTTAAACTATTATCTCCACTTGCAAATAAGAAAACTGAAACACAAAGACATTAAAAGACTGGACCAAGGTCACACAGCAAGCCAAGTGGGGCAGAATGGGATTTGAACCCAGGTCTGATGACACCAAAGGCCACATTCTCAGTAGATCCCTGGAGAATATGAAATTCATCTGGTTGCATTATTCAGCTATAGTAAGACAGATCAACAATGCAGCCTGCACCTTATAATAGGTTAGAAGACAGTCTTACTGGACCTATTTCCAAGAAGGCTGTTTCCTCAGAAACAATTAGGAACAGCAGTGAGGCATCACTGCCACGAAAGCATCACAAACAAAAACGAATGGTTCTAAAACACCACTAGATGCTCAACTCAGTGTGGATTTTCTAACAACTAAGCCTGTCCAATTCATGAGATGAAGGGCTATATATTCTTAGATTTAGGGAGGAGGGGCAGAGGGTGGGCAGTGGACAGGCAAAAGAGATTTGGAGAGTGCCCACACTTGGTGTTTTTACTGCTTTCCCCTCATCATCTCCGGGCTTCCTTGGACTTCTCTGCTATGGCAGAGACTGCTCCACAAAGCTACACTTGAGCAATGTCAACAAAAACACTTGGTCCCTGTCCACTGCATTCTTGGCTCCTCATCTGCCAGGCCCTGGAAGTTGCACATTGGCCTAATTAGTCAGGGGAGGGGTTGGGGGGCATGAAGAGGGAGGCAGCAGGCTCACATGTCACATGGCACACGCTGGTGAGCAGAGGCAGTGTGTATGACTGCAGGCTCCGAGAAGGGGTGCGGGCAGGAGTGGGCTGTGGAGATAGCACAGGGTGCCTGCTGGAAGGGGAAGAAGTTCTCAACCCGAGACTCAAGCCACATGCACTAAGGAAGGAAGGAAAGAAAGTGGAGGCTGAGTGCCAAGTTTCCATTACAGAGCTGCGTGTTCACCCTCTCCTGCTCCTTTCCTCCATCTCTCTCTCTCTCCTCTCTCTCTCCTCTCTCCTCTCTCTCTCTCTCTCTCTCCCCTCTCTCGTCCTTCAATCCCCTTCTTCCTCCCTGTGAGTGGGGCCTGCACAGCCCAATCTCTGACACCAAAAATGGATTTCCTTCACCCAGCCTTCACCCTAAGACTAACACACTCTCTTTTCTGTGCACCGTGTCCCACAGGCCTTCCACACTTCCCAAATACTGGTCCCAGGCCCAGGGTGAGATGCGAGGCTGTCTGCTCTCTGAGGAGGAGAGTAAATCCTTCAAGTGGACAGCCAGTCAATGGGCAGATTTGCTGCAGCGTCACCATTACCTTGCATGCCCCTCGCCTCTGTGTCAAGCAGCCTTCCTGCATCTCCCACTCCATGCTCCCAAGAGTTTCAGCCATCTGACTGCTGTGCTGCTAGGGTTAAGTGGCCAAGCTGGGACTCAAGCCCAGATCCGACTCCAAAGCCCAGGTATGCATGTCCCACCTTGTCTCAGAGCTCCAGGAGCCCAGGGTAGCAGCC